AACTGTTAGAAACTCAATCTCTGAGCGATGGGGTGGGGAGTGGACCCACTTCTCTACTAATGGTGAAGTTCTTTCTGTCCATTTGGTGCGCTCTTATCGGAGCCTTCTTTACATTTCCCGGTCTTCGCGTGTCTAAAATGCATTTCGATGCCATCAAGTACTCCGCCAACGATCGCATCGCTCTGTCAGTCCAACAATTATTGCTAACATTTTATGCATTTCTATTCATTTGTTAATTTCTGTTTCGTTTTTAGGGTTTTATTGAATCTGAGTTTCATTTCTCCGCTTTTCGTAATACTATTATGGGTTAAACCGATTGCCAGAAATTACTTAACTGTCAAGACCTGGTCATCGAGAGGCGCGATGTGAGCATTACTTTCTCTATAATATAAATAAATTGAAACATTTAATTAAAACTTTGACACAAATGCCAGAATGAGTTCCGATAGTTTCGAGACGACAAGAATTATCGTAATACTGGTTGTGATCGGTTTGCGAGCGTTTCTCACCCGTCGATACCTTCAATCCTATCTGAATATCGCACCACAAAAGCTGACACTCATGAAGAAAGAGAAGGGACGCATCACTAATGTTGATCTCCAGAAATTGGTTAGATATCCAATTATTTACAAATATGTTTTGATAACATTTTGCTTGACATTCACTGACAGATCGCTCGTGTGTTTCACTACTTGTGTGTCGTTACTCTTCAGTACATTTCTCCGCTATTTATTTGTCTGTTTATGACATTAATAATGAAGACTTTGGGAAATTATTCGTGGATTACTCTATGGAGTACTGGTTATGCGGAAACACCTGCCGTACCAACCATTATAGATGAAGAGTCGGGCCCAAACATGACATTAGCGCTATTGAGGAATGTTTTCAATCCGATAGTATTGCGAGGACTCACGGGTTTCATGGTTTGGTGGTTGTGCTCAGTTTGGTTCACTACCTCTGCCATTGGTTTTGTATATCATTCATACTTTTTGTGATATTTATTAGAAATCATTAATCAATTCTCAATAAAAACCCTTAATTTAAAATTAATTATAACTTTAGTTTAGATTTTAATTGTTATTTCATTAAAACTTATGTTTTTTAGAATCAATAGTTTATAAGTTATATAAAAAAGGAAAACAATAAAAAATAGTAATGTTTTAATGACTTTCGCCTTTCTTTCCGGCAATTCTCTTGAAGTCATTCATATTAGTGGCCGAAACGGGAGACCCGATAAGCGACAGGTAATCGATTCGAGTTAATTCACTATTCGATTGGTTGTTCTTCACGAAGATCTGTCAAATGAGATCAAATGGTAATCATTAAAACAGTGATGACTGCAATTGTTTGGCAGACAAACCAATAAGTTCTGCACGTTTTGAAACTTTACAAAACGCAACGCTATTGGCGTCCCATTTGCGAGGTCTTCAGCGGTGAAGTCCACCTTTTGGATCGGTTCCATCGAATCCGACTCATCGAAGTCCAGCGAATTCGGCAAATTTATAAACAGTTTCACAGTTTTCGGTCCGTTCTCTTTGGGGGCCATTATCTTCAGTGAATGCAGTTTTAAGGGCTGATTGAATGCCAGGTTTATAATCAACTGTTCGTCACAATCCGACTCCAGGTAAGTGCCGGAACCGCTGGTCAGACATCCGGGCAACGAGTGATCGTCCGACTCGTTTAGACACTCGGATTGGGCCTTATTTATGAAAGTGTTGAGCTCTATATGACCGGCCACTCCGCTGTCCGCCTGACCACCGGCGCCGCCGTCGCTGCCCTCCACACCAATCAGTTCCCGAACCTTACTCTCGAGTGCGTTGGGATCGGCGCCGCGGACTCGCGTCAATACCACCCGATTCTTGATGAACACAAACGTTGGCATCGCTTCCACGCTATAGGTTTGGGCCGTTTCTAAGACATAGTGTATATAAGATACGGATTAGATGTGGAGGCGATGATGGATGCGGTGGTCAACAGACATACCGGGACACAGATCGACATCCACTTTGAGAAACACACCACTCGTGTACTGATTGCTGAGGCGCTCAAAGACGGGACCGATTCGCTGACACGGACCACACCTTCCGGACAGGGATTAAGACAATGACAGCATTAGATCCGCGCGGAAGAGCGGCCACAGAGAGGACGGATCCCCTCGAGGGGTGACTTACCAGCTGGCGGTGAAGTCAATGACGAGCAGTTTATTTGGTCCGCTCGACGACAACTCAGTGGTGAAGTGCTGGTCATCTCTGATCACAATTAATGGCATTTTATTAACGATTAGTTTCGCCTCAAATGTAATCAAAATTATATTTAATTGTGTTTTCGGTTCAAAAAGTGCTAAATAATTGAATGCAACCAATCGTACAGAACGTGACCGATGGGGAGGGGACTTACCGTTGGGTAAGGGCTGCGTTGGTTAAGCCAATGCGGGGGCTCTAAGGGGGCGATGATTTGGCGTAACGTTGTTTGCGATGCTTTGGTTGACAGTGTGGTGACAGATGAGGGACTGTCTCGACATCTCGACGAGTGTTTGAGACATAATTGCATAACATATTGAATACACAGGTATTTAAGCATTAAATAAGTTTTGACTGAATTGTTGGTACAATGACTCCAAAGACAATGACTTCGATAGACATCACTGAAGACAATACACACGAAGACAATACGTGTCCAACACTTTCCGCTTTACTTTACAGTCAATCAAATTTTGTCACTCATTTCAATGTCTATCCATATTATCATTATATCCACCAAAACTTTTTTATTATGAAGACAATACACACGAAGACAATACGTGTCCAACACTTTCCGCTTTACTTTACAGTCAATCAAATTTTGTCACTCATTTCAATGTCTATCCATATTATCATTATATCCACCAAAACTTTTTTATTAAGAACTTTGTAAAAAAGTTTTATTAAAAAGTTGTGATTATTTAAAAGTTTTACACTGTATTGAAAATTGTGTTTATTTTTAACATAGTTTTGTGCATTTGATTTAAATATATTGCTAAATGGTAAGTCTTTGCGAAACTACTTATCAACATTCATTTATTTATTATAAGTTTAACCTCAATATAACTTTTGCCAAAATATCTGCTTTTTTCTTTTGAATCTTTAATTTATTTCTAATAATTTTTATTTAAATTTATTATAATTATATGTATTATTGCGTTATAAAGTGGTCTCTGAAAACTGATGGCCTTTTTTGTATAGTTTGATAGAATATAAAGAAGTTAAATAAGTTTTATATTAAAAATGCTTTACATTTAGTATATTTATAATATGAAAATACAGTATATGGCAGCATTTGTAATTTCAAATATATTTAAACAAAGATTTAATTAATTTTTTAAAATAGTGAAGTTTTCACAGAATTAAAGAAACATTAATTTTTTCATAATAATAAATATTTTTATATTTTTGCATTTATTTCTTTTGTTAAAGAATTTATATTAATTTAATTTATAAAAAATATTAAATTAAATTGAAAAATGTTAATAATTATATTTATGCCAACAAAGAATACATAAATTCATATGACATTCAAATTAATTCACCGCTAATTTAAAATCAACTTAAATTCAATAATTAAGGATTAATTATAAAGAAAATAATATTTATTAAAATCAAATTTAATATAATTAATAAGAAATAAGTTTTGAAGACCTAATGTGCCATAAATAGGAGTGTTTTGGTGGGACGGGAGGAAAGGTGTGTGCAATTCATTGATAACTCGATTGTTTTAATAGTAAGATGTTTGCCTTCGAGAGGCCAATCATATCCAGTGCTTCCAAGTGTTTGGGTGTTTTGGAGTAAAGCCTTAAATGTATGACAAGTTTACAATAAATTGGTTCAATGAAAGCGTGGGAATCACTACTTCTCACAAGAAGTGCTTTTTTGATGAATTGACCAAAAAGAGAGTCTTAGAGACAACGCATATATGAATTACAAGTGATAATAATGTGAAAAGCGTTTAATTGTTTTAAAATTAAGACATTAGACCATTATTTTGCATAAAATTTTGCATCGTTTCAAACAATTCACTCCAACTGAAGGACTTATTGAAATGTTACCAAAACTCGTAATTTGGTTTATATATTGTGTGTCACTTATAAGTTGTCAATCACTTAATCCAACACTTCTAACGTTAAATGCGGGTAAGAAATGCATTATTTTTTTAATATTTCAATTGCTTTAATTTGCTTTTATTATTTAAAAAATATATTCATTAGTAAATCAGTTCCTTCAAAACTTTACAACTTATTGTACTTTTAATTATTGTTTTGCAAAATATTGTTAACTCAAAGAAATTATATGTCAAATAAGGAAGAGATTCTCTCGTGAATATCTCTCTTCCCTAATAAAAAACCTTAACAATAGGTAAAACAATATTTATTATAATAACAGAGTAGTAATGTTTATATGAATTGTATGCACGACTTGAGACAAATACCAAATATTAGGCAAAGGATAACCAGTCCTTGAAATTATAGATCCTATTGTTGTCTGAACTGTTGAGAAGTGTGGGAAACATAAGTTAATTTGTTTTGGCATTTAATTCCTTAACAGAGGAAATTGATTTCATTGACGGCAACATCACAGCCCGCGCTCCCTATCCGGACCTTAACATTAAAATCAGACGAAACGGACAGTTCGTGGACACAGCCCTCAATGTACAGCCGGGAACTCCCCTCGAAATGATTGTCTATTTGGACGACGAGTCCCGACATGTTTACGGACTTTTAGTCAGTTTTCTCAAAGTGACCGCAATTTCAAACAATAATAACAATACCCAAGAAGAAGTGATTATTCTCAATGGGTGTGCATTTTATAGGCATTTTGTTTCAATATTTGTCATTATATTAATGAATATTTTATAACAAAACAGGTGTTCAATAGATCCCTATATATTTGGCAACTTTGAGACTCTGGACGGCGGAGACTCTCTGTCTGCGAAGTTTAGGGCATTTAAATTTCCTGAATCTAATTA